GGGGGAGGGCAGGAGTGTGGCCACCTGAGCAAAACGCTGATAGGCTGCCCTGCCCCTCTTCTTGGCAGGTACAAGCTGTGGGTGGATACATGCTCGGAGATCTTTGGGGGACTGGACATCTGCGCGGTGGAAGCACTGCATGGAAAGGACGGAAGGGATCACATCATTGAGGTGGGAGCACCCAGAGATCAGTGGGGCACAGAGTGAGGAACACATCCATAGCATCAACACACAGAACTATGAAGCACTCTGCAGCTCTGAAAGTCCTCAGCAAATGACAATGTGTTTGGTAAACTGTAAAATACCTTGTGAACTGGGACATCCCTAGCAAATGTCAAAACACTTAAACTCTAAGCTGGGGTCGGGGTTTGTAGGTCAGTGGTGGAGTGCTTGTGGAGCATACACAAGGTCATGGGCCATCCCCAGCACCATAAAACCAACCAAAAAAACCCCAAAACTAACCTGCTCTGTGAACTTGGACATCCTTGGTGAATGGTAAAATGTATTAAACTAGAAAGTGCTCAGTGAATCAAGACATCTTGATGAATGGCAAAGCATTTAGTTACCTTGAAATTGTTCTGTGAAACTGGGCCAATGGTGAAGCATGTTGTAAAAGACAAAGCACCTAGCAAATATAAAGTGGGGACTGGCAAACATTTTCTATAAAGAACCAGACAGTATATATTTTGGACTTTGTTGGCCATATGGTCTATTGCAGTGACTCAACTCTGCAAAAGCAGCTAAAGACAATATGTAAACACCTTAAGTGTGATGGGGACACAATGTATGTATTTGTGTCCAAAATTTGTTTATGGACACTGAAATTTAAATTTTTTATTTTTTACATGTCATCAAATCTTTTCATTTTTTTTAACCATTAAAAGATATCAGGCCGGGTGCGGTGGCGCACACCTATAATCCTAGCGGCTCGGGAGGCTGAGGCAGGAGGATTGCAAGTTCAAAGCCAGCCTCAGCAACTTTGAGAGACCCTAATTAACTCAGTGAGATCCTGTCTCCAAAAAAAAATTTAAAAGGGCTGGGGAGGGACTGGGGTTGTAGTTCAGTGGCTGAGTGCTTGCCTAGCATGAGTGAGGCACTAAGTTCGATCCTCAGCACCACATAAATATAAATAAATAAAATAAGGTATTATGTTCATCTACAACTAAAAAAAATTTTTTTTAAATACAAAAAAGGGCTGGGGGGTGTGACTCAGTGGTTAAGTGCCCCTGGCTTCAATCCCTGGTACCATCCTTGGCTCATAGCTCATACAAAAACAGGCAGCATGCCAAGCCAGATTTGGCCCAAGGGCCCTGATTTGCAGACCCTGCTCTAATGTACCTAGGAAGCTGTCAGGTGCCTCATAACAGACAAGCCCTCCTCATAGGGAATAATCAAGGCCACTTAAAAACTGGAGCTCACTTCCTTGCAGTGCCTTGCTTTTGCCAAGCAAAAGTATTCTCACTGTCACCTCACATGCACTTTCTGCCTCGCCACTCACTGGATCCCTTTTCATCCCCCAGGTGGTGGGATCCTCCATGCCTCTTATAGGTGACCACCAGGATGAAGATAAGCAGCTCATCGTGGAACTCGTGGTCAACAAGATGGCTCAGGCCCTGCCTCGGCAGCGGCAGAGGGATGCCTCCCCTGGCAGGGGCTCCCACAGCCAGGTAAGGCCCTTGGCATTGAGCTACTGGCAGGGAGGCCAGCCCTTGGTCAAGATACCCCATTGAACCCATAATCAGTAGGCTAAGATGGCAGAGCATAATCAGTTTTGTTAAGATGGCAGAGGCTGGCAATTGTGTAGGAATTAAAACTTTATAACCAGAGGTTCAACTAGCATCACCTTAATGCACATGTGGCTACAACTGCGAGTTGTTTAAAAAATGATAAATCACTGCTACCCTGACTTCCCTGAGTGCTTCTCTACCCCTGAGTATGGGGTGGGAGCCTCAAAACCCCATATCTCCTCATCTGGCCACAAATGGGGCAACACCCAGCAAAGAGGGAATCCATGTCACCCTGATTTGGCTGGTGCTCCATAGGTTGGTAACTATGTTTAACCTGTCTTCTCCATTCCTCTGCCATAGACTCCATCCCCAGGGGCCCTGCCCTTAGGCCGCCAGACCTCCCAGCAGCCTGCAGGGCCTCCAGCTCAGCAGCGACCTCCTCCCCAGGGTAAGTGAGGGCAGGCTTTCTCAGCCCCTCTGGTCTCAAGTAGACCCCATCTTTCACTGGCTCCCTCTCATATGTGCCTTCTCTCTCTGTCCCCCAGGTGGCCCTCCACAGCCTGGCCCAGGGCCCCAGCGCCAGGGACCCCCACTGCAACAGCGCCCTCCACCACAGGGCCAGCAGCACCTTTCGGGCCTTGGACCCCCAGCTGGCAGCCCTCTGCCTCAGCGCCTACCAAGTCCCACATCCGCACCCCAGCAGCCCGCGTCCCAGGCCGCACAGATGACCCAGGGTCAAGGCCGCCAATCCCGGCCAGTGGCAGGAGGCCCTGGGGCGCCTCCAGCAGCCCGCCCACCTGCCTCCCCATCTCCCCAGCGCCAGGCAGGCCCCCCACAGGCTACCCGACAAACATCTGTCTCTGGTCCAGCTCCACCAAAGGCCTCAGGGGCCCCACCTGGTGGGCCACAGCGTCAAGGCCCTCCACAGAAACCCCCAGGCCCTGCTGGTCCTACACGCCAGGCCAGCCAGGCAGGTCCCGGACCCCGCACTGGGCCACCCACCACGCAGCAGCCCAGGCCTAGCGGCCCAGGTCCCGCTGGACGTCCTGCCAAACCACAGCTGGCCCAGAAACCCAGCCAGGACGTGCCGCCACCTGCCACCGCCGCTGCCGGGGGACCCCCTCACCCCCAGCTCAAGTAAGGGGACTCCTACAGCAGCCTTCGCCTTGCTGCTCACAAAGCGGGCTCTGGCCCCAGTAGGGCAGCCCTAGTTCCCATGCTCCTTAGACCGTGGACCTATTCAGTGGGAGCTGAAGCCAAACCCCTCCCCTGGGCTTTCACTCCTCCCCTCCATCCCAGATCCTTTTGTCTCCATTCCAGGGATTTGGTGCCAGAATCCCAGAGAAATTCTTTCAGTTCAGATTCTTCCCAACAGGCCCTGGGAAAGTCCCCATTCCAGGTCCTTGGCCCAACCCAGGCGCCTGGCAGACCCATTTTGAGCACTTCCCTGCCTAGCGAATCTCTTTCCAGCTCAACTCAGACTTCCCTGCCAAACTCCCTGCCTCTTCCCCCCAACCCATCCCTAAAACACCTCGTGGCTGACTCATAGTCCTTGTATCATTTCACTCAGCAGTAGAGCCTCAGGCTTTCCCCTAAAGTATGGGCTCGTTTCTGGTCCACCACAAATCCTTTTGGCCTACCTCAGTATCCTCCCAAATCATCACACCATTCTCTTTACTTCTTCTGGGCCAATCCAAACCCCTCCCCCTAGCCTTAAAACCTCATCTCCCCTTTCATATCAAACTAGCCTAGAATTCAAAGATATGATTCAGCCCATGACTCCTCTCACCAATCCCACACTTCCACACCTTGCATCTAAGTCTTCCCAGCTGGCCCCACATCTCAACTCCCTGGCTGTGGGCTCCACCCATCCCACAAGTCCTCCCAGCCTCAAGAATCCATCAGGGTTCAGGCCCGAGGTGGTGGGGGGGAAAGGTCAGAGGAACAGCCCCAAGATCAGAGGCACAGCCCCAGGATCAGAGGGGCAGGGCTGGGGCCGGGCCTGGGGTAACGTTGTGTTTCTCTCCCCTCCTCCCCTTCCTCTTCCCCCCTTCCTCCCACGCCTCCACCTTGTCTCTCTCTAGCAAATCCCAGTCTCTGACCAATGCCTTCAACCTTCCAGAGCCAGCCCCGCCCAGGCCCAGCCTTAGCCAGGACGAGGTGAAAGCTGAGACCATCCGCAGCCTGAGGAAGTCTTTCGCCAGCCTCTTCTCCGACTGACACCCCACCCTGAGAATCCCCAAATCCCTGGGCAAACCCTCTCTGGGCCCTGAATCCATTATTCACTTTTGGAATCTCTAAATTCCTTGAGAACTCCTCTCCTGGTTCTCCAACATCCCACTTATCATTCCTCAAGATGCCTAAGTCCCTTGTGACACCTGGTCCTAAATCCAGTTCTCACGTTTGGGGATCCCCAAGTCCTATTAGAATCCTGCTCCTGGTCACCTCAAGATCTACTGTTTTAGAACCTCCAAATTCCTTAAGACCTCCACTCCCAGTAACCCAAAGGATATTTCCTTCCTGGAAGCTCCCAAATACCAGGCAACCCGTTTCTGGCCCTAACACCACTGAATGCCCTCCTTGAGTCCAGAAACTCCTGGAAAAACCTATGCCTGGTCCTAAATCTCTCCAGCACACCTTGTTCCTCATCAAAATTTTCCAATTCCGAGAAACCCCTACCTTTAAAACCCTCTCCATGGATCCCCCATCTCTCTGGAGACCCACATCTTCAAATACCACCCACCACAGTTCCATAAAAATCTCCCTTCACCCTCTTCCTCTCAACACCATTCAACACACTGGGAGCGCCTCTCACTTCTAGGACCCCTCGGTTCCCCCAGGGACCCCCCTCCCGAGTTTCCTGCCTCTGACAGCTGTCTTTAAATATGCAAACTCCACCCATCCACCCAGAATCCTTTGCACAGGGAAGGCCAATGGTCTCCCACTTCCCCACCTTTGCCGTGATGTCTGTGTCTGTGACTGACGTGGCCTCCTCTTGTGCCGTGCTTGGCATATGTGGTCCTCGTTCATCGTGCCGCCTGTGGTGATGCGTGCAGTGACGCTGTTTGTGTGGTCTGCACCTCCCCCCAACCTCCACTCCTTGCCTGGACTCCCTCCCCTCAGCGGCTCTGAACCCCAGAGAAGAGTCGGGAAGCAAAATAAACAAGCAAAGGCCCAGCAGAATTCTGTGCTTCTTGGTGAAGAAAGAGGGGAGTCCTTGACTGGCAGGGGAGACACAGAAGACCCCCAAATCCATATGGGGTGCTGGGGACCCCAAAATCCAGTGAAGGCACATTAGGCACAAATTCCAGAGAGGTTCTAAGTGGAATCCCTGCCACAAATCCCAGCTAGTGGAGATGGAGGTGCACCCCAAATTTAGAAGTATTCCCCAAAGCCAAGAGTAAACCAAATTATGAAAGAGGCAGGAGTCTCAGTCTTTGGGGGGGGTCCCCCAATTCCAGAGGAACTGAAGAGCTCAAAGGGATCACCACCATCTCCCAGGGTGAGAGATGTGGGATCCTGAGGCAGTATCAAGACAGAGATGGAACACTGGCTGGTAGGCAGGACTCCATGGCGTGGCAGACTGAGGTGGGCTCCCCGGTGGCTGGGGGCAGGGCCTAAGGCACAAGGCGGGCTATGCTGAGGAGGCAGGCAGGCAACTCATCAGCCTGGGTGCGGTGCAAGGAGGGTTCAGAGGCACTCCGCTCAATCTTGGGGAGTGACCGTTGCAGCAGCTCAATCGTGGCCAGGATCTGGGGACAGGTGGGGATGAGGAGGAGTGTCTGGAGCTCCATGGACACCCCAACACCCCAGGCCCCAGCCTAATGGGGAAACACACACACACACACACACACAAAGAGTGTATCTGAGCCTTTGACACAATTCACATTCACATCTGCCTCCATCCCCACTCTCCCTCTGCCTTGGAGTCCCCCTATCAAGGTATCCAGCCCTCCTACCCAGCTCACCTGGGGGAAGAGGGGCCGCTCCTCCCGCTGGAACTTGAGGCAGTCAGACAGCAGGCGCCGCATGGCCTTGGGGCAGTTACTGGAGATTTTGCTGAGGTCCGGAGACAGATAGCCACGGCCAACCATGAAGATGATCTGAGGGAGGGGCAGGAATGGGGTAGTTTTAGGGTTTGAGCTGTTAGATGCAGAGAATTTGGGGTCTTGAGTGATGTGGAAAGCTCATTTTGGGGGAACAGGGGGAACTCCAGGGTATTAAGGCCCAGAGAATAATGAGTCTCTGAAGACTTGGGAGGTTTCTCTGCTACAAAATAGAAGAATTTAAGTTTGGGGTTATTGAGGATTGTAGGTATATAGGACTAAAGTCCACAGTTGTCTAGGGGGCTTAGAACCTAGAAAGTACTGAGCCTTGGGGAAACATGCAGTTCTGAATCTGGGGAAACTTGTATTTCCATGGAAGTCTGGGACCTAAATGTCTGAGTCCACATTTTCTGCAGGACTCTGAGTGTTCCCCTTAAGCCTTCCCCCAGACACTTGGCTGGTAAGGGGGCCTTAATGGGATGCCCTTGGTTAGGAGTCAGAGGATTCTGGGTTCCTGAGGGCCTGGGAGGTTCTAGGCCTTGAACCCAAAGAACTATGAGATTCTGGGGCCTACAAAATTATGGGTACCAGGACCCCAGAGCCTGACAGATACTCAAAGTCTGGGTAATTTTGAGTATTTGTGAATATTCTGGAAGCATGGGGGATTTTCTTTCTCAAAGAAATAGAATTCTGGGTTTTGGGAACCTGTAGTATTTTGAGTACCCAGAGAAGACTGTAGATGCCTAGGAAATCTCTGGAAGGCTTCTGAGTATCTTGGGGTCTAGAGCATTCTGGGTACAAGATTCAGAGGACTCTGGGCTTTAAGGCTTTTGTCCCAGAGGTTGTGGATGTAGGGGAAGGAGGGAAGTTGGCATAGGATACCTTATGGGATTAACTCTTGGGAGTTCTCATTCCAGAAAATTCTAGGTTTCTGGGTGAAGTGTACCATTCTTTGTGCAGAGCAAGGGATATGGGGTGTGAAGGACAGAGGGAAACCATGGGTAATGTGTAGGGCTTACCTGGTCACGGCTGCCAATGTGACTGTAAGGCAGTGAGCCTGTCATGAGCTCATAGAGCACAACCCCGTAGGCATAGACGTCCGACTGGAAACTGTAGGGGTTTGGGTCCTGCATACGGATCACCTCAGCCGCCTTCGATAGGCCAGATGGGGCAGGGAAAGCATGAGGGACAGCAGATGTGGCCCACAGTTCCACATCTGGCTGGCCACACTGGCACAACTTGGAGCTACCCCCACAAGGTGAAACATAACACCCACACTGTCACAGGCATCCCTGTCTCTGTTTGGCTCCGTATGTCCCAATCTAGGAACATGTGTCTCCCCATGCCCCTCCCCATCCAGCCTGACCCAACTCACCATCCAAAGCACGGAGCCTGAGGGCTGCTCCAAGGGTTGGGCCCCACTCCATCTTGTCTTCACTGTGGCCAGGCCAAAGTCGCCTATCTTCACTGTGAGCCCCTCATGCAGGAAGATGTCCACTGGGGTCAAGGGCCACTATAGATTTCCAATAGTCAAGCCTATCAATCACCCTGACTGGAAGGTTATCATTAATGTCTGGTATTAGTGATTTTTCTGACCCTGATCAGAAGCCCCCAATATCATAAAATTATGCATAATTAATGCCCTCCACACTTGGTCTCACTGGGACTCTTGACCAAAAAGCCCCTTGAATGGCACCTAAACCAACCATATCTATAACCCTGGTCAGAAACTCCCTATAATGTTCACAACTGCTACATCTCACAACCTGACCACAGTCCCCAAGAATAGTACCGAAACCAGCCACACCTCTGACTCCTAATCAAGGGCACCCCATTAAGGCCCCCTTACCAGCCACAGTTCTGATATCCAACAAGGAGCCAGGCAACGTGTACCCTTCCCCATTCATCCTCAGAAATCCCCACACAAGAGCCTCCCCCCCTGTGTAATGTCCCACCCCACAGACAGGCAGATACTATTAGACTTGAGGTCTCGGTGGATGATATTCTTGGCATGGAGGTAGCTGTGGGGTAGAGGTAGGCAGTGAGTTGGCTGGAGGCTACTCAACCTCTTCTACTCTCCTCCCCACTACCCCTCCCCAGTCCCCAAGGCAAAAGGCTCACTCCATGCCCTGGGCAGTCTGCCTGGCGACATCAATTAGCTGGACCATGTCGAAGCGTGTGTCAGCCACATGCAGGTGGCGGTAGAGGCTGGAGCCCTCACACCACTGTGTGATGATGGCAAATCCTGGCCGGGTCATGAAGCCCATGAACAGCAAGATGTTGACATGCCGTGTCTTCCTACAGGTAGAAAGCGGAGTTTCAGGGGTGGGGAAGACAAACAACAACTGTCATACATCGCCTGGACCACTCCCCAGGCTTTTCGGGTGCTCAGGGCCAGACTGTTGCCAGAGTCCATGAATTTGTAAGATGTTTACTGGGCTATGGTGCTCTGCTGAGGCCCTATATCCTGAGTTGCTTCATGAGAGCCTCCCAACCAAAGCTAGAGGGAGGGATTAATGCCCCTACCCCTCTGCCTACTAGCAGCACCTCTGATCATTAACATCCTCCACACCTCAGACTGGGACTACTGTGACCATTTTACAAATGAAAAAGTGGAATACCAACCTTCCTCATTGACATGACATCATTATATTAATGCAGGGCTAAAATATGGGTATCAGGTAATGCTTATAGCCTTCCCCTGTGTAATGTCCCACCCCAATCCCAGACCACAGACAGGCAGATACTATTAGATTAATAGTATCTAATCACTGTGAGAATGATTAATCACTGTGAGAGGCTTAGAGGTAGAGCTTGGAGTACAGATTCATGTCATGTCACCAGTTCCTCGCTGTGCAACCTTGGGGAAGACATTTAACCTCTCTGGTTTTCACATCCCTTAACTGTAAAACTGAGATCATTACAGTGACTAACTTATAGGGATATGGGGATAGATGAGTGAGTAAACAACCTGTAAGGTGCTTTAGAACAGGGCTGACCATATAGTAAGCACTCTGAAAACATCACTGTCCTTGTTGTCATTGCTCCTGTGTACCTGGATCTATCTCACAGAAACTCTACCAGGCACAAATCATTTTACCCTAATTTATGAGAAAAGTTTCATTCCTTATCAAAGTATTAACTAAAAATGGCAAAACAAACACAAATAACTTTGATGATGCTCTGAAATTTTGATCATGTCAGGGAGAAAAACAGAGCACATAAAGATTCTTTTTGGTACTGGGGATTGAACCCAGGGGCACATAACTCCTGAGCCATGTCCCCAGCCCTTTTTTATATTTTATTTAGAAACAGGGTCTCACTGAGTTGCTCAGGGCCTCGCTAAGTTGCTGACACTGGCTTTGAACTCAAGATCCTCCTGCCTCAGTCTGCTGAGCTGCTGGGATTACAAGTATGCATCACTGTGCTCAGCTGAGGATTCTTTTTTTTAAAACAGTACTGCATTTAATTTAATTAATTAATTATTTGTGTGTGTGTGGTCCTGGGGTAGAACCCAGGGCCTTGTGCATGTGAGGCAAGCACTCTAACAACTGAACTACATCCCCAGTCCAGCTGACAATTTTTTTTTAAATATTTATTTATTTATGCATCTTTAGTTTTAGGTGGACACATTATTTTGTTTTTATATGGTCTTGAGGATCGAACCCAGTGCCTCATGCATGCTAGGCGAGCACACTACCACTGAGCCATAACCCCAGCCCCCAGCTGACAATTCTTAATAGTGGTAAGTCTATGGAAATTACCACATGCTTCCAATCACTGCCATTTCACAGAGAGGAAATAAGAATAAAAGTTTTCTTACTGTGCTATCCATTGTCAGCATAAATATTAATATGGAACAAGTAATTATTATAATATCAACTCTATAACATAATTGTGTCCATTTGACAGAGAGGAAGAGCCCATGCTGACATCCTGAGGAGTAGCAGAAGCTATATAGTCCTGGGGGCTGGAGGTGTAGCTCATTGGCAGGGTGTATATATGGCATTCCATCAACAGCATCTCACACACACACACACACAAAAAAAAAATGTATACCATTCTGCTTATATAGAACACAGGCATATAGTACTATGCTATGTAACAACTGTAGCACAAAAAGAGAACACCTGAGTTTCTCAGCATAAATTAAATGTTAATAGACATTAATCATAGCAATTATAATCTTAATGATTAAATTATGGTTATGATTATAATTAACAATATTGTTCTTTGCATCAAGGCATTATGATAATTAATAGCAAGCCTGCGGCTGGGTGCACACGCCTGTAATCCCAGCGGATCAGGAGGCTGAGGCAGGAAGATGGCAAGTTCAAAACCAGGCTCAGCAACTTAGCAAGACCCTGTCTCAAAAAATACAAAGGGCTGGGGATGTGGCTCAGTGGTTAAGTGCCCCTGGGTTCAATCCAGGTACGAAAAAATAAAAAATAAAACCAAAACCAAGCCTGCAACACAATAAATATAACATGAATGGTTCTGCACAACAGTGAGGAAGGAAAGCCATGAGCTTTCCTGGAGCTACTGTTACTTAACATTATGCTCTTCACCTCCATGCCCATGACCGTGACAATGAAAGCCTATCCCAGGCCCAGTTCAAAGTAGGCAAATGAGAAGACTCAAATTTGGAAGCAGAGCCATTAATTAATATCCATGCTGATATCAGCATCATCAGAGGTCATCTAAAGGTGTATTTTTTTTTCTAATTATGGAGGCCATCTAAACATGCCCATTTACCAAGGGGAAAAGGAACATCCTTCAGAGAGAAATGACTTCTGACTATGGTTCGAATATGACATAAATGTAGATGACATCCAAGAAGTACCCCAAGCATGGCTTTTTCCCAGAGACGAACCAAGGCCACACCTGCCATGCCCCTCCCCACCACCCCATCCACACAAACATGCGACCTCACCTGAGCACCTGCATCTCGTTCTTGAAGGCCTGGGCCTGCTCAGCAGTGGGTTGGGCTACCTTGAGCACCTTCACAGCCACATCGCCATGCCACCTCCCGCGAAACACGGTTCCAAATGAGCCCGTCCCAATTCTTTGCAGCAGCTGCACCTCACTGGGTGGCACCTCCCAGTAATAGCCTGAGTCCCGGTACCCGAGGTTCTTCTGTGGGCCAGATGGGCATCATCTGAGAGGCCTGCCCACATCCTTCAACCCATGTCACTCAGCCTGCAGTGCCCCCTTCCCAAGATTCCCACTTGAGTGTACCACTTTCTTCTTTTCATCAGCCAAGGACTTCCGCTCCCGCTGCTCTGAAGGTGACTTGGAATGTGGGGACTTCCTCCCCGAGGACACACTGGCTGGGTTGGGGCTCCCCCGCGGGCCTCCATCACCACCACCTCTACTACCAGCAGCTGCAGTTGTGGAGAGGATGTGAGTGGAGGCAAGTGGGGCAGCAGGGCAGAGAAGGCACAGAGTGTAAGCATGGAGTGGGGTGGGTGGGTGCTCACCATTGGTGCCGAAATTCTGGCCAGTGAGCTGAAAGATGGGGGACAGAAATCAAGGTGAGCATGTGGAGGCCAATAGAAATGGCTCTCACCCTCTGCACCATGCTCCTCCAGTGCCCCCCTTGCTACCCACCTGCATGAGGCTGGAGTCCATGGGAGCTGTGGTGCTGACCATGTGGACGTTGGGAGTGGATGTGGAGCGGATGCGCTGCAGGGGGGCGTTGGCTGAGGCAGGGAAGGGGAAGTGCTCCCGGTCATGGTGCTGAGTGCAGGGGCTGACAGAAAAAAAGGCTGGGAAGTTGTTATGGAATGAAGCAGAAAACCCGGGGAGCCCACCCCTGCCACCCCAAACATGCCTTTGGCTCATTCAGAGCAAATGCCAACTGGTTATACTGGCATTTGTTTGTTCAAGAAACACCTATTGAGTGCCTGCCACGTACCAGATAACCATTCTAGGTGTAAGTGATAAAACTGTGAACAAAACAAATAAATGCCCTTGTGGAGCCAATATTCCAGCAGAGGAAGAGAGGAATCAAGATAAAGAAATATATAATGAGCTCACAGGTGATAGGAGCATGAATGGGAAAAAGAGAACAAAATAAGAGGACAGAAAGTGTCCCAGGGGTGTCAGAGGAGGCTTCTCAAAGAAGGTGACACTGAAGGCCTAAAGGAGGGACAGTGAGGGACAAAGATGTGGGGAAAAAGGTTAAGATATGAATTTCATAATTATATATTACAATGACATATAATATTCAAACATGTATTGTATAATACACCTTGTATTACAACGGTAATGTTGTAAAACATATCATCATGTAACATGTCATATACCATATGTGGATTATACAAATTATAATGTTATGAAAAGATTTTCTAATGTTTCTTTCACTATTCTGAAATTCAGAGGTAATTAATCCACATATATCCCAAATTAAACTTACCCTTTTTATGTATTATAAAAAATATATGGTGCTTTATATATAGAAAAATATTCCATAATACAACACATAATAAAAATAAACCATATTAAGTATGAACATTATAAAATACACATCTATATATTATATACATCTATATATGTATCATTTTAATACTTAATATAAAAAACCAAAGGAAAGTAATTTATGATAAGTAATATGTATTTCAAAATGGAAAGGTTTGCACAAGGTTATGCTGGGAGAACGAATGTAGTAGTTAGCTGCTTATATGTTCATAATTAATAATAATAAATTATTATTTATTCTATACCAGGTAATTCTCTAAACACTCTACACATTTTACCTCACTGAATCCTCACTAGAGCCTTGCGTGGTAAAAAGTATCATTCTCTTTTAACAGATGGGAAAACTGACACCTAGAGAGATTAGGTAAATTGCCCAAGATCCCATAGCTCCATACCTTTACTCTTGTAGATGCTCAATAAATGTTTGTCAACTAAATAAATGAATAAAAGTATGGTCCGTGGTCTGCAGGGATTCCCAGATTTTTTTCTCCCCCAGTGCCCCTAAGGTATTCCTACCTGGGACCCTGGGAGGTTAGCAGCTCATTCGGGGGGCAGTTTGAGGGAGCCTCATGCTGCCTGGAGCCTCCAGACAAATCTTGGACACTGTGGTAGATCCTTGAGGGCATTCAGGGTGTAAAACAAGAAAACATGGATAAGTTGTCTACAAGGGCCTTATGGCTGGTCTCTGCCCTCCCCATTCCCCCAACCACCCTAGGCCAGGCTTACGGTCGGCGGTTGGTACTCATGTCAACACAGACTGTGGGAACCTTGGAGGAACAATGCTGGTGGAACTTGTAGCCACAGGTTTGGCAGCGGAAGCCATGGAACAGAAACTTAAGGCAGAAGTCACAGAACGCCAGGCTGAAGAATGTCTTCCGTACCTGTTTCCACACAGTAGGGAAGGTTGAGGCCCGGTCAAGGGCCCTTCCCACCCCCATGGCCTGCTGCTTCTGTCCACGCTTCACTCACAAAATTGTGCATGGTCAGCGGCACATCCTCGAGGACCTCCACAATGAGTTCCTCACCATCCAGGGGGGCGATGGCTGTGTCCCAGGCAGTGACTGTCTTTCGCCTGCAGGGGACATGGAGAGCAATGAGTAGGAAGGTGGGTAGGGATCATGGGAGGAAGGGAGCCCCCAAAGTCCCTCCAAGCTCCAGATCCATGGACTAATATTTGGCATGTTTAATTCTCATTAAATTAGTCACTATCCTTGTCCCCATTTTACAGATAAGGACATAGGATTAGAGGAAGAAAGTGACTTGCTAGGGGCCACCAGGAGATTGTGTGAAGGGTCTATTGTCTTAATTACAAGGTAAGAGGCAAATGAGACTATCTAGGAAGTGCCAAGCCAGCCTGGGAAAGGGGCTGATAAGGAGTTAAAAATATAAAATGCAATGTATGAACAGGATAAAAAATTAAGGAACCCCAGAACAGGGGAATCTGTGGAAAGTCAATAAAGCCCAACTCAGCAGCAAATGGAGAAGCTGAGGAAGGAGAAAGCTCATGAGTTCATGAAATCGTGAAAAAGGAAAATAGATGAACTCTGCAAGGAGGTGACTGCAGGGTGAGGACTTGGGGCCAAGAAGATAATGAGTTGCAGACTTCCAGGTCAATGAACTAATGAAGTAATGACATAAAAGATGGATAAGCTTATAGGTTAAGTGAACTAATGCAAGGCTTCACAACAGAGCGAAGAAGGAAAGGGATGACTCTGGGGAGAACAAGTAGGTGGCACGGGAGTCACTTTTTTGTGGTACTGAGTATCTCACTTTGGGTCTTGCACTCGCTAGGCAAGTAACTCTGTCACTAAGGTACCATCCCAGCCCTTTTTAATTTTTATTATAAGATAGGGTCTTGCTAAGTTGCCCAGGTTGGCCTCAAACTTGTGATCCTTCTGCCTTGGCCTCCTGAGTCACTGAGGTTACATGTGTGTGCCACTATGCTCACCCACACTTACTTATTATTACTGTCACACTTACCCTTTGATGAGTCTGTAGACCACGCAGCAATCCTGATTGAGGCCTCGCACCTTGAGGGCCTTGTCTAGAGAGTCGTAGACACTCATGCCATCCCGGACAGTCACCTGTATGTGTGTATGCAGAGGCAGAGGCCCTCAGTGCCCAACAGAAACAGTCCCAGCTGATAATCCCATTCCTCTGCAATGGCCACTCCCAAGCCCTTGTCACCCTACCACTCCCAAGCCCTTGTCACCCTGCCAATCTCAAAACTTATAACTGGGTCCATCCACAACCCCTAAGAGTTTCACCTCTGAGACTCACCACTGTGCGTTGCTTGTTGGGCAGGTACACTTTGACAGTGCCCACTGCCCGGGACGGCTCAGCCCCGTTGGCAGCGGGGCCCCGTGGCGGCTCCATGGAGCCTAAGACTTTGTCAAGATGGTCTGAGGTGAGGCTGGGCAGGTGCCATGAGGCTCCTAGGAGAGAGTAAACAGAGGAGAATTTCAGAGGTCAAACAATGATTCTACAAGCAAAGTGTCAGGGAATAAAATAAAATTCCATCTCCAGCCCAGTACGGTGGTTCATGCCTATAATCCCAGTGAATCAGGAGGCTGAGACAGGAAAACTGCAAGTTTAAGATCAGACTCAGCAATTTAGCAAGACCATGTCTCAAAATTAAAAATTAATAAAGGGCTAGGGATATGTCTCAGTGGCAGAGTGTCCTGGGTTTCAATCCCTAGCACTTCAAATAAATACATAAAAATTTCATCTCTAGCCTGGCATGGTGGTGTATGCCTGCAATTTCCATGACTCAGAAGGCTGAGGCAGGGGTATCTCAAGTTTGATGCTAGCCTCAACAACTTAGTGAGACCCTGTCTTAAAATATAAAGCAAAAGAACTAGGGAGGCAATTCAGTGGTAAAGTGTCCCTAGGTTTAATTCCCAGTACCATAAAAAAATTCCATCTCCAGATTCCCACTGTCCTCTGCAGCCTAATTTCTATACAACAGCCTAAGGATCCTGTTAACATCTGAAGTCTACTCAGTCCCTCCTCTGCTTAGACTCTCCTGCTGTTTGTCTCATTCTTGGGTGACAAGATCTCCAAACTCACTGCAGCAGAGAGGCAGCAGGGACACAATGAGAAGCAGCACACACTGTCCTGGAAGATACAGGAGTATACAAGACTTTGTGCCAGGGACTAATGGGGAAGTCAGCACGCACTGCACTGGGGGTGTCAGTTACATAATGGGCATGAACAGGCTGTCCTGGCCTTTTAATGGAGAAGGGGGTGACCACTGTGGTGAAGGATTATCAGATATTGCCCTTAATTTGGGAAAATAAAGGTATCATGGGTGTCCCTAAGCCCTGGAGTATAAAGTTGATGGCAGGATCACAAATATTGTGATAGGTGCTTAATGGAGGTCACCAGACAGTATGCTGGACATATATAATAGGAGTCACTAGGGACTGTAATGGGGAGAAGGGTAGATAATGGGAGTCACCACACATTGGGCCAAACGGGGTTGGTAATGGTGGCTCACCAGACATTTGGCATAGGGAAAAGAAAAGGAAGATAATGGTGTAGATTTGAGAAAATGGAGGTAAGGTGGGGGTGGGGTGTCTCCAAAATTCCCCCTGACAACAAATGAGGGGTCACAAACAGATTACTGGCGTAAATTCTGTGGTGGATCACGGAAGGAGCTTGGGAAGGTGAAAGAGGGGTAATGGAATACTCAGATATTTCCCTAGGGGTATAAACATTGATCCAGAATAAGGAAGCCAAGGAGCGAGGGGACATCTCCACCAAGTCTCTGGAGTTAGTAAAAAAATGATCAGACACCCTAAGAAGTTCAAAACTGAATCTGGAAACCACACACTCACGATCCAGACCCCATTCTGGCCTGGTCCCTCCTCCCGAAGGTTTTCGGGCTCTGCGCAGGCGCGCGGGCACTCGCTGCAGGCGAAACCATCCCACAGCCTTGCCCGCCTATTCCTGTCTACCCACCCCGCCCCCGCTGTTGATGATGGTCTCGCCCCGGGTCAAACCACTCCTCCAGTTCCGGGCGGGGGGCGCCTGAGTACAAGCGCAGCCATCCTGGAGCTGAGCTTTTGGTCCGGGCTCCGTGCCTGTGCCTGGCGGCCGCTCCAAATACGAAATCTACCGGGCCCGCCCTCACCTGTCACGCCGCTACTGCCGCCACCGCCTCCATCTTGGGCCTGTCTTCTTGTTTCCTCTCACATTCCGCCTCCACCTCCTCTCAAACTTTTGCCATTGGCTCAGAGGGACTCAGCCCTCCATTTTTATTGGATGACGGCCACGCCCGTCAAGGCAGGACCAGCGGAATGTTGGTCGTGTTCCGGATTAGGAGGGGCGGCCTGTAACGTCAGTGTCTGGGGCAAACTCGCACGCTCTGACTCGCGCAGGCGCAGTCGGGCGAGAACTGCGTGCGAAGGGTTTTCACCCTCGATTGTGCCCTGGAATAACGAAGGTTCCCCCCCACACACACACACACCCCGGTCATTTGAGGCTGCCCTTAGCGGTTGGAAGTCTAAGCGTTGAAATCCTTAAATGCAATTTGGGGGTAGTACCCTGAACATCCTTTTAGGATTTTCCTGTGTCTCAGTTTTACTGTCTTTGAAATGGGTTGAAATCAGACCAAAATGATGTGCAATGTTTAGCAGCTCTAGGAAACTAGTCATAGCCTTTGATAACAGTTATTCCTCTGGAGTGACTGGGAGCTGGGGGTCTGGCCCTTGGAGAGGTGACCAGAACAGTAGTTCTGGGATGCTTCCTTTAGTAAAGGGATTGATGAGGATTTTGAAAGATAGGTGAAGAGGGAAACGTGGATCTGGAATGGAGCACTGTAGCAGTCAATGTGTGGCGGTATTGTAGGATAAATAAAAAAAATGAAAGTTAACTATTTCCTGGTATCAAAAAAGAAAGACCAGGCTGGGGTTGTGGTTCAGTGGTAGAGCACTTGCCTAATATGTATGAGGCACTGGATTTGATCCTTAGCAACGCATATAAATAAATAAAATAAAGGTCCATCAACAACTGAAAGAAAAATTTTAAAAAGACCCCCTCCCCTGCCCATCTTTTCTTCGAATTTACTTCAGAAAAAATATATAAATTTTTCTCTGACCGTCTCAAGTTTGAGACATATGTAAATCATTTTAAAAGCTAAGTAGATGTCTTGCCAGTTTTACAGTTGCAGAGTGTTTTCCTTAAGGGCCTTGTAGCCATTTCTTTGAAAGGTTTAGAATGAAAATAACATCCCTATCTCCCTCTCTCTGGGAATTTTGCTCCGTATTCCTGCCTCCAAGTTGTTAACGGGCTTGTCATAGAGATATAAATCTTAGTTTTCCTTTGGATAAAGGCAATTGTGTTTTCGTAAGAGCCTTGGAGGCATCTACTTGAAATGTAAACAATGAAAGTAACATCCCTATCTCCCTGCCTCTGAGGGAATTTCAGTCTCCAAGCTTAGCTCCAAGCTGTTATCCAAATGTCATAGAGATTAGAGTCTTAGTTTTCCTTTGGATAAAGGAAATTAATTAACAGGTTGCAATCCCAATTGAATTTGGGATGAACTCTGTGTCCCAAATGGTGCTGTCAAGTTTCTTACTTGAGGACAAGTTATTAGTTATTTTGAAAACATGTATATCTGCCTGGCTACATAAAAGCATGACATTTCTGTCTTTGAAATGTCTTAGCAGGCCTGGCACAGTGGCACATGGCTGTGTTCCCAGTGACTTAGGAGGCCAAGACAAGAGAATTGTGAGTTCAAAGCCAGCCTCAGCAATTTAGCAAGGTCCTAAGCAACTCAGTGAGAATCTGTCTCTAAATATAATACAAAATAGGACTGGGGATGTAGCTCAGTGGTCAAGTGCCTCTGACTTCTATCTTCAATAGTCCGCCCCCCACAAAAAAGAAATGTCTTATCAGATTTCTTGTGATACAAATCACAGCCTAGTTTAATGCTTATACATTAATGAAATTTTTCATTTTTTTTCTATCTTTGTGGAGAGTCTTTACTGGGTTGGCAGGAGATTTTCTTTTTAATTATTTCCCCAGTGATTTGAACGGCCTTTTGTCTTTGAAGTGATAACATTCTCCTGTTAAAGATTTAGCATCCCTTTTTGATTCCTTAAGAACATTGGAGCCATCTCTTTGAAATGCAAACAATATAAACAATATTCCTATCTCCTTGTCTCCTTAGGAGTTTCATCCATGTGCCTGGCTCCAGATGAGAAAGAAGAGAGAAAGGTCACTAGGTAAGGAGGCCTCAACTTGCTTCACTGAGTACTTTTTCTATTAAAAGAAATAGAAACCAGGTGCGGTGGCACACATCTGTAATCCCAGTGGCTCAGGAGACTTAGGCAGGAGAATTTTGAGTGCCAAGCCAGCCTCACAACTTAGTGAGGCCCTAAATAACTCAGTGAGACTCTGTCTCTAAATAAACTATAAAAGGGCTGGGGATGTGGCTCAGTGGGTAAGTTCCCCTGGTTTCAATCCCAAGCCAAAAAACAAAAAACAAACAAACAAAAAAAACCCAGAAGTTTAGAAGTTCTACTTACCAGGCCTTCATATAATTTCCATTTCCCACCTCCCCCTTTTTGTGCAGATCTTCACCGTTTAATGTCTAAAATTAAAAAGAATGACAATACCAGGAATTGAAGAGAATGTGGAGCAACTGAAGCATTTCATATATCAGGAGTGTAAAATGGTACAATCTCTTAGGAAACAGTTTGTCACCTTTGTATAAAGTTCAATATAAACCTAGCATGTAACCCAGCAATATGGCTTCTAGGTATTTAATTCAGAGAATTGAAAACATATGTCCAGTGGTATGCTGATGTTAGCAGGAAAGAAAAAGAGCTCTTCCTTGTAGCATTTTTTAGTTGTGGCATTTAGATTCCCACCATGGCTATTTCAAGCTACCAATATGACATCACTGAACCAGAGTCAAAAAGAGGTTCACAAAGTAGATTCTGATGAGCTAGCCACAGGATGCTGCTGCAAAATGTTTGCACCAAAGCTTCTACATAAATGTTCAGTTAGCTTTCTTCATATCAGAAAAAAACCTGGAAACAGCCTAAGTATCTAACAAAAGAACTGACAGAGAAAGGAATACTGCTCAACAATGAAAGGGAACGAACTATGGAACAGTGTAGATGAATCTCTTAGACCTAATGTGGAGGGAAAGAAGCCAGACACCAAAGAGAAATTCTGCTGTATGAAATTCTACACCAGACAAAACGAATCTAAAGAGAAGGGAATCACATTACTTTCTGTCTTGGGGGGAGAATATGAAGAACATTGGTGTGGTCTGGATGTGGTTTTTCGCCACCCAAAATCATGGTGTGCTGGGGTCCTGCCCTAGTGGGGTCCAGGGAGTCCTGAAGGATGAGTGGCGTTGGCGAAAAGATGAGACAGGAGTCGTTCCGTTGGAGCAATCTCCAGAGAGAGAGCTCTAATGCAGCTTTCTCTGGGTCATCTTTTATTACAATTTTTCTCATCATTATAGATTCAGAATACGTCATTGATTATATAATTTCAAACTTTGCCAAGACATGACATTTCCTTAACCATGATTGGGGGTACAAAAAAAATGTAACATTAATTTACATTTTTCCAGGATATGACCTTTAGTTATTTAATTATTAAAAGTACAGAATCATTAATAAAATACGTCACTAATTTACATTTTTCAGATTTTCCCAAGATTTACTATTTTCCCCAAGATATGCTATTTTCTTATTAACTAATGCCAAACTACGTAACCAGACTTTAAGTCTCCTAACCATCATTAACCTTTAAGTTTAAAGTACACTTGTACTTTATTTCTAATCTAAAATTCCCATCTAAAAAAGTCCCCTTAAATCTTATACTTAAAACATCCTAAAGTTTATAAATCATTCTTAAAACATATCAGAAACCCATACAACTAAAAACTTAAGAATTTCTAAACTTAAGAATCTAAATAAAATAATATTTCTAACATTATTCTAAAACTGTGTCTTATAAAGCTATTTTAATTAATTCCTAAATTTATTCTCATAAAACTGGTTGAGCTGCTTTCTCAAAGAGTTTCTTTGTTTCTCAGTCAAGGTGCACTAGTTCTCATATCTTTATAATCTTTCTCAATAGAAAGTAAGTTCTAAATATCAATCCACTTTCCACCAATATTAACTATACTCATCATATATCCCTATGTAAAGTAAAAAAGGGGTTTATAAAAAGAGAAGAATATATCTTTATATGTTTTAACTTTCTTAAATGTAAAAATGAGACTGCATGTGGTAAACTTTGTAAAATAAGCATACTGATTAGGTTTTCTAAGAGGCTGGAAATATGGGCTTGGGTTCTAGTTGATATAATCAATGTGGTGCCTAAAATTCTCATGACCTTTCAGAGGATGATTGTTGTCCATTATCAGATTTGTCCTCAATGTACTGAGATAGAAGAACAGCCTTCTACTTTGTCCTTGATATGCTGAGGGGTAGTAGAACAGCCTCTAAGGCATGAACTACCTGTTATGTTCTAGCCATCTGAAATTTAATTTGTTTGGCATTTAACATGCTCATGCCTACTGTCAGGAACATAAGCATGAAAATGAAAAGTCCCAATTACATAAAAAAAGGTCTCATGGTTTTGGTTTCCCACCAACCAGCGTGGCTTTGCCAGCATTTATCCTCACTGTGACCCTGTCAAGACAGTGAGTGGGGGATCGCCTTCACCAATGGTGAAATTTGGTTTTCCATGTAGGGGTATTGGGACGTGGAGCCTGTAAGAGGGATGAATGTCTTTCTTGATCTTGAGAATCAGTTGTTATAAAGCATCTGGCCCCCTTTTCGCCTCCCTTCTTCTCCACCCACCTTCCTCCCCTCTGCTGTGGACCATGAGGCCCTCACCAGAAGCCAAGCAGATGCCAGCACAGTGCTCTTGAACTTCCTGACCTTCAGAAACCATGAGCCAAAATAAACTTCTTTATAAATTACCCAGCCCTAGGTGTACTATTTTAGTAACAGAGAACAGACTAAGCCATGAAGGAATTTTTGGAGTTGAGAGGAATGTTCTGTATGTATTTATCAAAACTCATTGAACTCTATGCTGAAAATGGGTATACATTTTTACTGTATGTAAAATATACCTCAATAAAAATGCATGGCAAAAAGTGGCTTCAAACATAATTCTAAACATTTTGATTTCTGGCAAATTCTTATAGGTTAGAAACTTTCATAAAAATATTTTTTTTTCTGAAATTGAATGCCCAGACCCATGAATCCCCATGTCCCAGTGCAGGGCCACCTCAGTACCATTCAAGGTT